TTGTGATCTGAGAAATGACAAACAAGCGCTACTGTACACTGCTCAAAACTCGCGATTGAATAGCCAGTGGCAAACTCTTTAATATAAAAAACGTACTTACAGTCTGTGAGTCAGAACAGCCGGCATTGTAGTCTACTCTACCAGGATCAGGAAACAGTCCTCCATAAAATGTGCTGCACACATCTGAATATTTGGGTTGAACTGTTCTGGAACAGTATTGTAAATACAACTTAACCACTGATTTCTAGTCGTGTCCTCTTTTGGAAGGCCAAACAAAGTAGTTTCGCTTTCACAACGAAACACACAGCGTCACACACGGCGGGCTAGAGTGAGCGGAGGCCGGCGGGCTTGAGTGAGCAGAGGCCGGCGGGCTTGAGTATGGCGCGGCCGGCGGATTCGACGAAGGAGCGGCCGGCGGGCTTGCGGCAACCACATGTGACGACCCCGGGCTGGACTCCGCTTCGTCCACGGTGAAAGCCGATCCGGCGATCCACAGTGTGAAAGTTGATGTATTTCCTCAGGGACCAGCATGGATCAGCTCTAGGCATTACGAAGGGGATATCGTCCTCTTTTGGAAGACCAAACAAAGTAGTTTCGCTTTCACAACGAAGCACACCGTCTTCACGACATGGCGACGGCGGCAACAACAATACTACAGCGAGAATAAAAGTTACGCCTTCTTTCTTTGCGTGAACATTTGGGCGGCGTTATGCAAGTCTTCCCACATCGTGACGTAGACATGTGGGGGCATGTTAGAATGAGCCATTTTAGGTAGGCGTGGTTAACTCTTAACTTTTATAAAGAATATCTCTTTGGATTTGAGACTTTAGTCTTTGCAACTTTACAGATCTTCTTTATGCACCAAGAGTATCACTTCAAAGAGAAAGGAAAATTTGAAATCGCATCATATGACCCCTTTAAATCCCAGCTTATTCGTGACAGTATGTGAGCATACAGCCAGACCCACCTGAGCGGCAGATATTCTAAGATGCTTTGTTTACCTTGCTGTGTTGTGGGAGTGCAGCAGGCACGAGTACTGAAAACACGGAATGGAGTTTCATTTATATGGCTCTGAATGAGCCAAGTGGAATGGATTTGAGGAAGCAGTAGCGTGGAAGTCAAGGCTGTAGCTAAAACGTGGAATGGAGTTTAATTTATTAGGGCATTCCTCAAGTGGAATGGATTTGACTGATGGCGCTCTGAAAAGTGAACAAACATATATGCGCAGAATTAGAGACAGTAAAAGTGAGTGGGACCAATTTCATTGGTCTAAAAATGTGGGTGGGTCTCACATACAATGGTTCCGACTCCCATGGATGCTTGGTATCTACTGTTCCTAACTGAAGGCTTTGCTCTTTGGACTCCTAAAACATCCTAAAAGACTAAACAACTGTTTCTAACAAGTTAAAGAGACAACAGGTTTACCACAGTGAAAGCAAAAAAATAAAAAATAAATAAATAAAAAGGTAAACGTATTGCGTTTTTCACTGGCTAACATACAGTATAATAGTACTAATTTATTTGGCCAACCCACACTCAATTTTGTTTTTTTAAGTTGAATTTTGCTGATACATACTTGTTTACTTTTTTTTGTGATTTCAACCCTCTACATTGCGAGTAAATCACTCGCATATGCGACTAAATCTTACTCTTACAAAGATAAGCTGATTGGGTGGAATCATATGTGTGTATGTGTGTGTACTTGACCATATTTTGGGAACAAATTTGTACCCAAAAGTGAGCAAAACCTGACAAAATCGACAAAAACCTCAATTTGTGGATGTCCTCATTTGTAAAACTGTTATAAAAAAATTAAGTAAAAGTTTTTTTTTACTTTTGAAATTGTAAAAATGCAGAAAGTTTTCTGTTAGCATTCATACAGTAAAGACAGTTATTATTATTATTATTATTACTACTACTACTACTATTATTGCAATCATTAGCAACCTTGTCAACCGCACAACAAGGTCGGCCATGTGATGTCTACAATGCAGGAGGCATAAGGGTGCGACCCGCTCCATGTAGAATTAAACAGACTGGTACTCATTTTTAACAGTGTAACTGTTTAAATATTTCCATTAAGTGTTAATTTATTTGTAAAAAGCAAAACTAAGTTTAGCACCTTTGCTAGCTCTTGATGTTTACACAACAATAATTATTTAAGAGCAGGCTCTGGCATTAAAACGTGCAAAATATCACTGTCACAAACTAATATGAATTACACTTAATAAACTTGGGCTTTCGACGAAAAAATTGTAAATGATGTGGCATTTGGGGCTCGAGCAATAAAAACTTCTCAAAAGAAATCTATGCGATGTGGGTCGCGCATATGTTTCAGTAAGACATTCATCTCATGCACGGGACATCGGCAGCATGAGGCTCCAAACAAAAGCCCTGAGCACTGAATGAACAGGCGGGACACTGGAGAAAAGGAGGCGGGGGACCCGCTATTGTTCCCCGCAGAACAAAGATGAATGTCCAAACGGTGCTGCCACACGAAACCTCCGCGTAATTCCACATTACTTTGGCAATGCTTTCTGCACTTTGAGAAAAATAAACCGGGCTGTCTTATGATAAAGTACAGCATAGTAAAAGTAGAGAGGTGGCGCGGAACTGCGCGCCTGGGATGTGCGCAATCAATCAAAACTGAGCTCAGCATCCATTCAGCCCATCAACCAACCAGGTTAAAACGACATCAACAGACAAATCAAATGTTTACGCAAATAAAACCCAGTGCAAAACATAAAGACGTTTCTATAACACTTCCTGAAGCTCAGTAGTATGACTGAAGGTTCAGACTGCGGCTAACTTTACAGGCGCCAATCCACATTATCCAAAGCCCTTCCTTGTGGTCCTGCTAAAAGTCTGGAGAAAAGCCTTAAAGAAACCTCATGCATGCAAAGACATGCATGTATATTTCTATCTGTAGGAATACATTCAGTGCTGGACTGCCGTGTGTTATTAACTGGGTAGTAACTAATATAAGCATCATAACACAATACGATGTGTTTACGGATGCTAACATGCTACGATCAACGTGGTTTGTGGCATGCGTGTTTGATTCCAAACCCATGGCTCCAGCAATTTGACATCTTTTAGAAAGCATGCAGGGGTGAATGGGCAGCATTTGAGCTCATAACTCAAAAGCCGCTGGTCCCGGTGATCAGGCGGCGCAACAGACGCACATGCCGCAAGCACACACACACACACACCACTCTCATTAGGCTAAGCTAGGATACACCGCTCAACTGAGGCCGGATTCAAAGTGTTTAACAGCCAGCGTCTACTCACTGTTCGAGAGGCTTATGAGAGCCACGTCCTGGTTGATTTTGATTTCTAGTCGCAGAGGCTGCTGCTCTGAATGTCGCTGTATGTCTCTGTTGGCGTCTCCGATGGAGAGGAGGCGCACGCCTGAGAACACGGACCCCGCCATCTTCGATCTGGGGAGAGTAAGACAGGCAGCGGCTCAGATCTCGCCTGGAGTCAGTGGTCAAGCTAGGCCTGACTTACTACTGCCTCCACATGGCCACATCTCCTTTTTTCCAGCTCTCGTTCAATTTCAAGACATGATATGGGCTACAAAGAAAAAGCAGGTGTATCTTGAGTACATTTACTAATAAATGCATTAAATGTGTGGGTTGAAAACTTTATTGTACAGTAGGCTGTGAAGAAGAAAAGACACCACAGGTGAATAAGGCCTAGACGTCACCATACTTCCCGCTATGATTAATCACAGTACAATAAGACAATTGTTTTGTATTACAAGTTTTCTGAAATGTTCTTTAAATATTTAAATAAGCTGTTATCTAATTAAATGTAGCCTACACTAATTTACATACATTTTCAGAACAGAAATCTGAATATTAGATAGGCTAAAGCCCGGTTCACAATTCGTCTTTCATTTTGTTGACATATTAAGATATAAACGTTTTTTATAATAACCTTAAAAAAGGAATATTAAATGTTATATAAATCAGGTGAATAATATATGAACAAATCCCTCTGTGAAAACCTTAAGAATATAGATAGGAATAAAACTTGAAAGTTTGGTGTATGTTAGTGGCACTGAAGTGGAGATATAGTATTCGTTTTTAGTAATATTTTGAAATAGCTTTATATGTTCACATTTTCATTTTAATTCTAACATTTGTTCTAGAATTTTTACTAGAACTAAGGTTTAGTTGTTTTTTTCTATTTTCAGTTCAACTTAAACTTTATTTTCCAAGGCAACATTTCAAATTTTCGTTTAGTTTAAGTTTTTCATCTAATATTTGTATTTTTTCTTTCAGCTTTATTTCAATTAACAAAAAATGTTTTGATAGTTTTAGCATTAGTTAACAATAATAACCGTTATAGTAGTTTCCAGCATAATAGTTGCTCTTATTGTAAAATCATAGAAAATTAAATTGGGATCTTCTTCAAATAGTGTAAGAATCTTTTCAGGCTCAGTCATTTTAATTTATTTTTCAACGACATCTTGATTCAGTTTTGTAAGGAAAGGTATGTATCTTGCTGCAAACAAATCAGATGTTGCTCTTGTAGCCATAATCACCTAAAACGCAAGACATACATGATGTAAACAGACTGAAATGTTAACAATGCAGGACAGCAGTAAAAATGACATTTGCATGAATGTCCAGTGGTTGACAGATAAAGATACAGTACAGATATAAAATGAGATAAATAAACATGCAAGGGTAGAGTATATGCAAAAACGGGCCATCTGATACGCTCCTAGTCATTTGGTGTTCAAATTCTTAGAGTAAAAGCACAACAGGCAGGCAGCACCTTGTCACCAGGAAATATCACTAAAAACACATATATGATTCTGCACTTGTGTCTCGTGTTAAACCCTATGCATAACATTTAAGAAATGTCAAAATGACGCAGAAACCTTTACCCACTACATTGGAGAAAATACATTTGAATAAAAAGTAGTACCTCATTCAGTATTTAGAAAAGTGAATTTATATCAGAAACACGGCATCAATCTTTATCAAAAAGAAACTGAGATTCAAGACATCTCTCTCCTTCAATAGAGCTATGTGGTTAATACAATTAAATACCTTAAATACATGAGTTTCATGGCAACAACAGTCCATGTATATAAGCCTAACTATATTAATAAACAAAGAAATTCAGTGTTTCATCCTAAACTGAAAACATTACAACAAAAAAGCATTTTGCAATCTTTCTGTGTAGGCTGGTATTCATACTTAGCTACACAGTACAAATTATATATATTTTTTGCATATTTGCCATCACTTTTCCAGTGGACTGTTTGAGCAACTGAACACTTTAATTTCCTCCTACTAGTGTAACATTTTTGCACTACCGTGTCCTTATTTAACAGTATACAAATTAAACACTTAAATCACTTTTCAGAGGTTTTCTTCATAACTCACATCACTGAACGTGAAAGACTTCAAGTCACAATGCAGCTTACAAATTAAACAATTTAGTGTAATAGTAGTGATGATCCAGCTCTGCTGTAATGTAAAGGGGATCTGAGGGTTGTGTAGTGAAATGAGGAATGTTCAGAAGTTTCTCCAAATTCTTCATGACTCCTTTGGGGAGAAGAGAAAGACAGAGATTCATTTATCTGTTTATATTCCTGTCCAACAGGACATTTCAAAGAAAAAAGTAACACTGAGCTTATCGTTGATACCTCAGAAGAGCGCACATGATTTGGGTGGTCGAAAAGGGTTGTCGCTTGATGGCACCCCCATGAGGAGAGGGTCCTTATGGGCATTTTGCAAGCAGAATGTCTTCAGATCTGCCGCAGCTTGAGAAACCTAGGGGGAAGGAGTGATTAAATAAAATATAAACGGACAGATAAACAGACAAACACATAGGTAGACATGTATATGTATGCATACAGATAAAAGAGGTTTGTGGAGCAATAAAAAGTCTATTGGCAATCACAGATTCCTGGAAATCAGCGGTCAGAAGTCACATTGTTTATTTGATTCATGATAAATTCAATAACAGCACACAAAGCCTCGTGTTGTTTTTAAAATAGTGTGTTTTGGGGGCAGTAGTAACTAATATAGGTTTGGATTTTTTCGGCCAACAAATGTGACACTGTGTCACACACTCACAATCAACAAAGAGCTCCACTGTGTAACAGCAGTGTCGGGCGATACTGCCTGGAGAGAGTTTCAAATCAAATACGCGAGGAAAAGTTTGGAGTCAGTTCAATGTTGATTGAACTGCGATTATCATATACCTCACACATGTATTGAAATATTGAAGTTGGATGACAACATGTGTTAGCATTCGATTAAAAGCAAGCTGTCAGCTGCTGAAAACGAAGTGTAATTGCAACCTGCCACAATATAAAAGCTGGCGAACAGATAACATTATGTATTATGCTTCACTTGCATGAGGATTGTTGTAAAAACTCTCACATGAATCAAGGAAATGTTAAAAACAGTACAATAATTACACAAAGTAGCAGGATGTTCGGACAGGATCAACAAGTCAGTCAAGTCACACCCTGTTAGCAAAGATTTCCAATCTTTTGGGGTATATATTTTTCTTTTACTCACCTTAATTCTGCGGATTCCTGCTTCATTTCGCAGCTGCTTAACGCTTTTCTGCAGGCTCACCAAACCGCTTGCGCTGTTATTCGACATGTCTTCTGACGGACCGAGAAAGTTTGCTACAATGTCGACTCGAGACCCGACTGACTTGGCAGAAACTCAATTGCGCCCCTATAGTCGAAACCAACGACTGGTTTAAAACTCCGACAGCGCAGGAGGATGCCTGTTCAAATGGTGCTTCTTCACCTGTGAATGAATGGGAATTAAAAGGAAGCAAGCAAGCAATAAACAAACAAACAAACATACATACATAGGCCTACATACAAATAAATACCACCCGAAGGAACCCCGTTCACTTGTATTGTTTTATAATAAGCTCATCATATTTTCTATTCTCTACACAGAACCCTCTCAATAAACCTATCTACATTTTACATTTTCGTTCAAACAGTATTTTTATGACGCCCTTTTCCTCGTGGGAATGTGGGGTGTTCCACACAATGTGATACAATTTCAGGTTTTACTTACACATTAATGAATATGTGTTTGTTGTGGTGGATTAGGTGGGTGAGATGCATTATTAATACATATTATTGCTAATAACTTAATATTCGTGCTAATATTTGTTCACTTTAAAATTGCATTACTTTCACAAAACGTTCTAGCTGAGTCTGCGGTGAATTGCGCCATCTAGCGTTGGCGTATGCGGCAGTGTATGTGCTTCACAACCAGTGTTGCCAAGTCCGCGGTTTTGCTACGGAATTGGTCTACTTTAACACTGTTTCCGCGGGTTGTTTTTCATGTCCGCGGGTTGAAGCGACTCCAATAACATGATATGTATCCCCTGGAATGCGATTTTTAATTGGGGACCCTCCCAAAACGCGACTGGGCTAGTTTTGGGATAGTTTTGAGTAGCGATTGGGCGGGTTTTCTTATGAAAACCTGGCAACCCTGTTCACACGAGCCCCTCCGCAAGGGGAGACTCCAAAGTCAGCTAAACGCGTCGGGGTCTGTTTTCTGTTTGAAGGAAAGTCAGTGGAAGAGACGTGCCAGTTTTTTTTTATTCTACCGGGAAGTCCCGTTGAGATCGAAACTCTCTTTTACCAGAGAGACCTGGCACGGTAACAAACTAGATTAAATAAATAACATAGATAACATGAAAAAAAAAAAAACTTTTGCGACAGCTGTGATTCATTTTACGATACTTTGCTTATATGCGATCAGCAAACGTTAATTACACTTTCTCGACTTCGCCATCTCTTTCTACGATAGAGAATCTCTGGCTTCACTGTCAAGCTACCGAATATCACATCCGGGTCAATAGGGTTTGCGTGAGGGTTGCTCAATAGAAACATGTTGTTACGTGTAAGTATTAAAATGTCTTCTGTAAATTAGATATTTTAAATATAAGCTAGTCGGCCAACCGCCAATAAACAATAGAAGATATTCTAAAAAGAAATATGTACCTCCGACACAACTCAGTACTGTAGCAGCGACGGCATTCATGATAAACACGCTATTGTACAACTAACGTTATTCTTTTGCCAGCAGGATGTTAAATTGAGGCATCTTTAAGTTTTGCTCGATTTCACAAAACGTACGTTTTTTAACTGACACGTAAAGTAATGTCATCAGGCTGATTTGTGCTCTGTTGAGTGCACAGTGATGTCAAGCTCGCCACGAAAATGTCCATCGACCTTGGATACATAATGCTGCCTGTCTTTCTGACCACTGATCCTCATCGTCGTAACTGTTGTCTTCATAGAGGGTTTTACGATGTGGTGTTTCTGCATTCAAAGTCAGTCGTTCCATTCATCAGAGTGCGCCATGGAGAAGTCCACTCATACCTATAGTTGTGGAGCAGACGGTAAGAGTACATTAGTAGCACTTTTCGTGATGACTTTCTTTAAACTGATCATCTAGTATCAAGAAGTTACTTTTAGAGCCCATAATTGTAAATTCAATAGTTCAATAGTGCAGCTTCTTAGTGTTGCAGGAACTTGACTGCTACTTTAAAAGTCTTTTCTGTTTCAGGGCCGAGGAGAGCGTGCATATGACATCTACTCAAGGTTGCTACGAGAGAGAATCATTTGTGTTATGGGTCCAGTAAGTTAAAATGCAAGGAAAGACATAAAAGGATCTAAAATGATTTTCAGGAAGCCCTTTTCCAGGTGTTTCCTGTGTTTTTCTGTCCCTTTCTTTATCTAGATCGATGACTCTGTAGCATCTCTGGTTATCGCTCAGCTGCTCTTTCTCCAGTCTGAGAGCAACAACAAGCCTATTCACATGTACATCAACAGTCCTGGTGAGAAACATAACTGCATTGACATAAAAAAGATTGTAGCAGCTTGGATCATCATGCTTATTCATCTGGCAGTCCTTGGTCTTAATCTGTCCCGTTTTAAATTTTCTGTTGCTCATATGAGATTGCTCGATATCTGTATGGGAATCCACTTTCACATTCTTACACTATTGTAAATTTGAAGGCAAATGTTTACTTATGCACTTCTGTATGCTGTACACAAAACAGAACCTGCTCTGCATTGTGAAAAAATGTTGTCATTCATTCACTTCAGTGTGGCACTTCCCCAGTGTCATAATTTTGTTCAAGCACCCAAAAAAAAAAAAAGAAGCCTAAAATAGACTTTAAAAAAAAAACCTGTTGTACACAATCTTTACAAGTCTTCTGTAATTTAATTAATAGTTTATACATTTTTTACAAGGAAAAAGGCCTTTAAGTGTATTTATAAAAACGCCCCCTTCAGGTTGTTTGCTGTGATTTTTATAAAGTAAATGTAAGAATAAATGTTATATTAGCACTATAGAAAAATCATGTTAAAATGCATCAAATATGATACAACAGGCATTTGAGGAATGTTTATTTGTACAACATGCATATTTGCAACCATCATTGCATTGCAATAAATGTTTTGACCCCACAATGAAAACTACAGAGCTTTAATTATAAAACTGTGTGTAAATATAATCTTATTAAGATATATTACGGGGAGAAATAGTGACAACTGATATTTATATACATTTTATATAATTAGTTTTCTATACTGTTATGAAGATCTCACTGATTTTCATTACAAGCTTTCATCTCACATGAATATAATATAAATATCAGCAACTGCACCAAATGGCATATTTTTGCTCAACTTGGGCCTCTGAGTGAAATTGTGTTTTTTTCCCCCTCCTCAAGCTCCATATTTTTATTATTTCATATTATAAGAAACAAAGACCTGTTGTATCAAATAGGAAAAAAATATAACAAAAAAACACATGTACAGACTTTTTTTTTAATATATATTCTGTCTAAAGGCTCAATAACTGTTCCTTTAAAAAAATAAAAATAAAAATAAAAAAGCTATCATAAAAAAAACAAAAGTGAATCAGTACATTCTTTTTGTTTTTGATAACCCATACAGAAATGTTTGAAGCCAGCAGTCTACATTTTTTTTGTCTCTGTCTTGCAGGTGGTGTGATTACGGCTGGACTTGCGATCTATGACACTATGCAGTACATCTTAAATCCCATCTCAACCTGGTGTGTGGGCCAGGCCGCAAGTATGGGCAGTCTGCTTCTGGCCGCAGGAACCGCAGGCATGAGGCATTCCCTGCCCAATGCCCGGATCATGGTGCACCAGCCCTCCGGAGGAGCAAGGGTAAGAATGGGGGACAAAAAAACAGAAAAAGAGGGAACTGCTTTCACAACTTTAATGCCAATATTCGTCATTTCAGGGCCAAGCAACGGATATTGCCATCCAGGCTGAGGAGATTCTCAAACTTAAAAGACAGATCAACAACATCTATTGCAAACACACAGGGCAGCCTTTGGAGACTTTAGGTAATTTTTCTGTTATAAATCTTTCATTAATATTATAATAAACTCCATATTGCGTGACATCAAGTTTCTGTGTTCTGTTGTAGAGAATGTAATGGAGAGAGACCGGTACATGAGCCCAATGGAAGCGCAGGATTTCGGGATCATTGACAAGGTCCTGGTTCATCCACCACAGGCTGGACAGGATGAGCCGGAACTTATTCAAAATGAGCCCACCAGCCTTGCAAGCGCCTCCACCTCCCCTCAACCTCAAGCCTCTGAGCCGGGCCCGTCCGGCAGCAACCCTCCCTCCTCATACAAACCTGAACCCTGAAAGAGACTCCCAGCAGGAGCGAGTGAACTACTGCATCTCTGGTTCAGTGTGTTTTGGCAGATGTTTGAGATGACAGTCACCAGCTCACATATCATATCTGAACCTTGTGACCTTCCTTTTGTACATTTTATTGAGTATCACTAAGACCTCAGACAATACTGGAATCTGGACTTTACAGATGCAAGTGTAAAGATACTCAGTCTTGACTTTATATTTGTATGTACAAATATAGGTATCTTTAGCAAGAATTAGATTAATTGTAAACAAACCAGATGGGAACACAAGCTTACAGCACGGTTTGAAGTCTGTATTATTTGGATGGAGTGTGTTACCATGTCACACAATATACTTTCAGTTGTAAATGTGCTTTTCGATTAATATAATACATGTTAAAATGATTTAAAGCAAGAGATTTTATTGATAGATATTCAAATAAATCATTGGGTAAATTAGGATGGTTATCCTGTCGTTTTAACTTTTTTATTGAACATGAAGGACACAATTCAAATTGTGAAAGGTTACAAACTACATGTTTCAAGCTCATGAATTCCGAATAGTTTACCAAAGGTACACTACAGTTCAAAACTTTGGGGATTGTATGAATAAAAAAAAAAAAGAAATATGTACATTTATTCAGCAAGGATGCATTAAATTGATCAGAAGTGACAGCAAAGACTTTCACATTGTTTCAAAATATGTCTATTTCAAATACTGTTCTTTTGAGCTTTCTATTCATCAAATAATCATGAAAAATTATATGATTTCTACAATAATATAAAACCGCACAACTGTTTTCAACATTGATAATAATAATGTTTCTTTAGCAGAAAATCAGCGTATTATAATGATTTCTGAAGTAATGTGACACTGAAGACTGGAGTAATGCAATAAATTACATTTTTAAATATATTCAAATTTGTTTTACTGTATTTTTGACCAAATTAATGCAGCTTTTGTAAAAATGTTTACAAACCCCAAACTATTTAACAGTACTGTATGTCAAAATAATAAACCAAATTCTATCTTTTTAAGCAGTTTCTTCAAAACAAAAAAGCAACAAATGCAATTACAATAATATAAATAAATCCCCATTATGCTTTCTGAGGGCAAACATGTTTGTCAGACTTTATTTTTGTATTCAACTTTAAAGGTGAAAATTACACAAGCAAACTCATAAACTAGAAATGCTCCCTGATATTTTCAGTAAACAGAAAATCCTGAACTATTATGAGCTATATAACAAAATATGTACCAGTAAAGATGCTAAATTACCTTAAGTAAAATAATGCTTTATACTCATGTTTGATAACAAATATGGATGATCCATTTTATGAAAGATTGGATTTTTTAAATCATCAGATGCGAATAAGCACATAAAAAGTTGAGTAGTGTATTCAAACAATGGTAGATAAAATAAACTCATTCTTTTGCTAGTAAAATAGCCTCTTTCTCTCACCGTAG